TGTTTCCTTAAGGAGACTGTGCCTCTGACAAAGAATTTTAAATTAAATGTTCCGTGTCATTTAGCTCATCCCAGGTCAAGAAGTGTTTGTCTATAACGTCTGCCAAACGGTTTGGAATCCCATAGCTTGGCCATGGTGGAAGTGTTTCTTACGTGGAGATTGATGATTTTTCTCCAGGAAAAAAACTTCTGCGTGTACTCAGAGCTTCAGGTGCTGGAGAGAAAGAATCAGTATCCTTGAAACGGGTATCTGTCATCAGTGGTTGTTAGGAAAATGGGATTTTCAGTGGCCACATACTCTGTAGGGTCTAGGATTATTTTCACTCTTGTTTTTCACCCAATAATAGACAAGAAACTGGGACCGGAGAAAGAGGAGATACTAAGTGTCTTATAAAAATTACTCAGGACTGAACAGTGGCAAGAACTAGCCATTACCCAGGCTAAGTTGCACCTTAAGGTGAATGGAATATTGCTTAAGGATTAGTAGCACTTCCAGAAAGGTATTAACGAGAAGTAGCTCTCACCCAGAACTGGATGTCATACCTTAGGTCTAGCAATACAAATATATGTATATTTTACAATACTTGGATATTGCCTAAAAAAATAATTATGGAAAATATAATTGATACAAATCCATTTGAGGGTCTTTGTATATATCATATACAAATATATAAATCATTCTTTAAGCAGGACTTCAATTTCATAATTCTCATTTTGGGCTATTATTGTCCAGAATTTAATGGCATCCAGGTGACCATACATACTCACTGTCTTAAAGGCAACACCATTTAAACAGTGTCCAAAGAAAGAATTTATGGATCCTTACCAGGAACCCAGTAAGATCATACATGAATGTAAACTGCTTAGAAGAGAATAAACCCTCAGGAGTCATGAAGCAACCTAATTGTTCTCCTGTTACTATGCAGAGAGTAGAAGTTTGAATATCAGTTTTTGGCTCTTTGAGTTGAGAGATTAACTCTTCATTCTTCTGTGGTTAGGATTCTTCTATTGGCACCAGCAGGATGAAATCTGGGCCAAAATGCTGCCTGCAAAGCATCTTCCAAACCTCTAACATCATTAGTACTGTCTATTTCTATATTTTAGGAGTCAAAGGTAGGAATGGTCCCATTGCTAAAGAAGCCTGCCCAGGCATTGTGGCATACGATATAACATAGAGAAACAGGGCAGTATTGTCTGTTTCTCTGTTGGTTTGTTAGAGATGGGACTCATGTGGATGAGCAATTTGCTCTGTTTGGCCTCCATCCAGGAGATCAGTGCCTTTGGGCAGCACTGGGAAGTGTGGTCAGAAGGAGGTGTCACTGAGGTTGAGCCTGCCCGGCAGAGGTGGGCCAAATAACAACACAAAGTTCATTAGTACAGCAAAGAATGTGTTCTGTGTGTATGGAAAGACAGATTAAATAAATGAGTGTCTGTTAGTAAGTTGATTGCTGTCAAAGAAAGGACTCTTGGGGAGAAAAAGTGTTCATTTGAGACAAGGAAAACTTCAGCTTAGCAGAACAGAAATATTGGCGCTTTGGTTCTTACAGCAAAACCTGTTGGACAGAATGGGGAAGGACAGAACAGGAACCTGGATGAATCTGGAGAAAATGTGATAGGAGATACAGGCATGAATATCTGATAGGTGCCAGGAGATAACTGAGTGGATACAGTTGGTGTCTCAGGGAAATCCAGTGCTGTCATTTTAGGCAATTTCAACTTCTAGACTAGAAAAGTCAGAGTAGTAACACTAAGGAAACATGCTTACCCTTGGATGTCGAGTCAATTTTTTTCTATATACCTTTCTGGATGAAAAAGAATGATAAAAAGCTCATTTGGGCTAGTAAGTGGAAATGAATCAAGTATAACAAATAACTTTTATATAAATTGTAGTTGTGTAGAGACACTGGAATTGCAAGACCAGAGTAAGTTAATGGCCATCCCATCTCCCGCTTCCTGTTTCCTTTGTGTTTCCTGCAAGTATTTCAGAGGAAGTTGTAAAATTCACCAGTGCATCTGATTTTCTAGTAGTGCAATGTGAAGGGAAATTCTTTCACCCCAGCGGATTATCAGCATGTCTTATGAAGTACGTAAGAATTGACAGTCCTGTTGGTTTATTCTACGCATAAACAGGTAATTATTTGTGAACAGCTAGTTCTTTACTTGTCTGACTAAATCTTACATGGTTTCCTAATGAACATTTGATAACCTCAAGCAGCCAGACATCCCAGAGACTAAATGTTGCACAAAGTGGGATTTCCTGTTTGAGTCACTCTGTTGTATTACAAAGCCCTGCATAATTCATTGTCTTACATGATCAATTTACACAGTCACAAGTCTTCTTGCCTTTTTTCTTTCTAAAGGTTATATCATCATCATCTTTTTATTGTTTCTTTATATGGAGATTATGATAAAATCAATCACTAATTGCTGTTCTTGGTATTTTTTGTTTTGTTTTCCTGAAAATTCTTCAGGTCTGCTGTACGCTTTTTAAATTTTTTTTTTTTTTTGAGACAAGATGGTATATAATGACATTAGAATGTTTTCAGCATTATTTTTTATCCTCTTCAAATATGTTGGTGGGCCTCTCCTTGATTGTTCTGTCATAAACTGTTCACAATGATGGCTTAAATTTTTGGCTTTTTTCAGGTTGCAGGTACCTCAGAATGTACAGTGAGCATATGCATTTTAAACCGTGCTTTCTAGTGCAAAGTATTCAACTGGCCGCAACTAAAGAAGGTAGATGAACATGTTGGAAGTGGGGTGTGAACCTATTTTTCTACAGACTGAAAGGATACATAGCTGTAGTTTAAACCATTTGACAAAGCAAGGGATCAATTCTAAACCTCAGTCAAGCCAACACAAAGGTCTAGAAAAGCAGCTGGATCTTCACATGCTGGATCCAGCTGCCACAGAGCTTCTGTGCCATCCAACTCCCTACGGGTTATGGGTTCAGGGACACGCCTAGAGCAAGATGCTGGAGTTACATATCTTGTGGACAGCCTCTTGGGTCATACATAACTAGCTTCACTAACCTTAGGGAACCAAACCAGCTCGGCCTGCCTCAGGGTCAGGGAAACGCACGTTGCTTCTTCCAGTAGTGCCTAGTGGATATTGAGGATAGAGCTCGAATTTAAATAACATAAGCAAGACTCAAATGCTAGTATTAATGCCAACTGACTGTATGGTTCCAGATCTGTAACTGCAAATGTGTATTCCTTTCACCTTAAACTTGCCTACAAGAGCACATACTGTCTATTTTGTTCCACCCAAACAACCATTTGCAGTGTCTGGGTGCTAAAAATGTCTGATGTGTGTATGAAGGATACCACACTGATGTGTATATGAAAGCGATACCACAACAATTCAGTCTTATAAAAACAGATACTGTAAGAGTGAAGGGTGAGACAAAAGAAGAAGCAAAAGATAATTTATTAGCGTCTGGGGAGCCCTCAGTGAGAAAGAATAGATGATTTTTAAATTAGAGTTGTATTAAAATATCAACTCGGTAATGAGCTGAAAGAACAGCAGACATAGATAGGCTCAGCAGGCATATACACAGCAGGATCAAACATCAACAGAGGACATGAATAATTCTGCAGAAATTAGGAAGGATTGGAATATGGAGAACTAGAAAAACAAATAGAGGGTAAAATAAAGAGTAAAGAACCCAGAAGGGAAAGGAAAAATTTCCATTTTATTTAGTTACAGTGGTGTCCTTTTAAGTGAAGTCAGTTGAACTACTATGCATTCATATTTGGCTTATTGTGATTCCTAATGATTTTTTTCAACTCTTACCTAGTGAAGCATATGAAGTATAGTGGGATTTTACACTACCCCTTACCAAATAAAACCAAATCTGATTTGGTATAGCTCAGTAGCTGTGATGCACACAGCAACACAACATAACAAATCTTTGGCCAGAAACAGTAGTCAGGAAAGAAAGAAAACAAGCATAAAAACAAGAAACAAACGGGATCGATAGATGGAAAGATTTTTATTTTAGAAAGGCTGAGGGAAAAGTACATGGTCCTGACATGTACAACATTCCTTGCAAGGAGAAGCTATAAGTGATGAGTAAGGGAGAACAATACCATCAGGTTCCTGGAGGATTTCTTTGCAATAAGTCTGTGTTCATCAAATGCACTTGAAACTAACCAAAATGTAAAATAGCTAGTCAGAGAA